CTAATGTCATTGAAGTGGCTGGCGTAACAAAGGCACACGACGCTACAAGTCAGTGCGTGATCAAACCCGTCGACACCACGCACCCTCTGACCTCTCACCGCTTCTCGTGGTGCTCATGCTGATCTCGGTATGTCTTTTCGGGAAAAAATTGCCGGGCACTAAACGCACAATTCATTTGAATGGAGTTTCTTCATGAAATAAATAATTTTAGAAGCACATTCCCTACCACAGTGTATACAGTTCAAGTCATATAAATGATGAAGAAAATAATTCAACATCACACAACATATGACAAGCAGAGAGCTATGAATGCTTAATTGTTGTAGAAACTAAACTAATACAAGTAACAAAAACTAATACAAGTACATCGAAGCGCGACGTGCGAATTTAAAAACAAATTGTAGTGATGTAAGAATGGTTTGTACAAGAAATGAGCTCCAAGAACAGGAGGTGCAGGAGGGCGATAAGTGAAAGATTCGTCGCGTGAGGGACTTCATTACCGGCAGAACAGCAGGTGACGGAAGCGAGGGGAAACAGGAATGAGGGGAAACAGCAGAAATGAGGGGAAACAGGAATAAGGAGGACAGCAGACAAGGGGAAACAGGAATGAGGGGAACAGCAGACAAGGGGAAACAGGAATGAGGGGAAACAGGAATGAGGGGAACAGCAGACAAGGGGAATGTAGACACAGCAATGTAGAGGGGAGCAGCAGGTAAGCAAATTATGGAATACTGGGAGTGGCAAGAGAAAAACAGAAATGAAGAGGTCAGCAGGCAAGTGAAAGTAGAATAAGGAAGCAGCTGGTGAGAAATACATGAATAAGAACAACGAGCAGGAGAAGGCAGAAACAGGAAGAGCAGAAGGCCGTGAAAAGGAGACATTACGAAGACAGCAGGCATAGCAAGACAGAAATAAAACGAGCAGGCGTAGCATGACAGAAATAAAACGAGCAGGCATAGCATGACAGAAATAAAACGAGCAGGCATAGCATGACAGAAATAAAACGAGCAGGCATAGCATGACAGAAATAAAACGAGCAGGCATAGCAAGGCAGAAATAAAACGAGCAGGCAGAGGAATGCAGGAATAAGATCAGCAGGCAGGAATAAGGGGAGCAGCAGGCAGGAATAAGGGGAGCAGCAGGCAGGAATAAGGGGAGCAGCAGGCAGGAATAAGATCAGCAGGCAGGAATAAGGGGAGCAGCAGGCAGGAATAAGGGGAGCAGCAGGCAGGAATAAGGGGAGCAGCAGGCAGGAATAAGATCAGCAGGCAGGAATAAGGGGAGCAGCAGGCAGGAATAAGGGGAGCAGCAGGCAGGAATAAGGGGAGCAGCAGGCAGGAATAAGATCAGCAGGCAGGAATAAGGGGAGCAGCAGGCAGGAATAAGGGGAGCAGCAGGCAGGAATANGCTGTCTCTTATACACATCTAGATGTGTATAAGAGACAGCCGTAGGCCTGTCGCCGATTTTTAACATCGCAGAACATTCACAGCATTTTGCGGATCTCGAACTCGCAACTCACAACTACAATTCTGCTGTGCTTAACCGCCCGGCCTCCTCGCCGATTCTGACCAGAAACTGGCATAAACCACAATGATGTCACCAAAACCGGCGGCTATTAATTGTTTGAGCCACGTCGTCATAGAGATGCCAGAAGGATTTTGACGATTATGTGGATGGTATTTTAAAAGTTGCAGTATAAATACGGTAATGTAGATGGCATTTAAAAATTACAGTACAAATACGGTATGGGAATTCTACCGAGAAGCCTTTTGATAAAATAACTGGTAGCATGCCACGTACGAGGCAATGAGCGATGTCTTCTGCAGCGTCATTAAATTCAACATTACACTAAAAGTGTTCAAGTTGGACGTTTAAACAGCAGCTAGTGAACGGTGCTACGCAAGACGCTGCTACAAAGAAGCGCAGTCCACATCATTGAATGTATTCACAGGGTGAGTGATAATAAATGAAGAGTTGGGACGTAGAAAAAGCCGTAATTATACGTTATGAAGATGAAACACTCACAATGAAGCAGCAGCTTATGAAGCAGCAGCCAGTGAAACACTTACAATGAAGCAGCAGCTTATGAAGCAGCAGCCAGTGAAACACTTACAATGAAGCAGCAGCTTATGAAACACTTACAATGAAGCAGCAGCTAGTGAAGCAGCAGCTTATGAAGCAGCAGTTAGTGAAGCAGCAGCTTATGAAGCAGCAGCTTATNAATTATTCATTCATACATGAGGATAATTATTCATTCATACATGAGGATAATTATTCATTCATACATAGGATAATTATTCATTCATACATGAGGATAATTATTCATTCATACATGAGGATAATTATTCATTCATACATGGGATAATTATTCATTCATACATGAGGATAATTATTCATTCATACATGGGATAATTATTCATACGACAATAATTCGACATAACATTCCAAGGGCGTTTCAGCCTACGTACCATTCACACATATCTCGTCATGATGTAACGTGCTTGTGTTATAATTCTAAGAAACTTAGGGTGAAGACAGTTGTGCTTTACATAAAAATGTATTTTCTTATACTAGTAAGTAAAAGATTAATGAGCTTAGACGCTGGTCATTGAATGATTGCATCATGTAGGCACAGCTCATCGAGTGCGTCAAGTCTTCTCATCGCCAAAATTACTGGGCAAGCGCAGAATTAATTTCCATCATGAATAATAGATCCAAGTGATGATAGACAGTTCAAGAAATTGCCTATACCTGAGGCCTGAGAGGTCAACTATCAATACCTTCTTTCTTTCCCAGCAAAATTACACTTCGTATAATGGAACAAAAATTGGAATGTGTCAGAAGGGGCTGGAATTCATTTACAAAGTACCGTACTATAAATGACATCGTAAATCGCTCAATCAATCTTTAGAGCGATTTAACGACAATGTACAAATGAAGCCAAAAATGTCGACAACCGCGCAGCTTGCCCCAAGCGTAGAAATAATTAGTAATTATGTTGAGGTACGCCGCCTACATTGCCGCGTGGACCTCACATAGGACAATTATACAACAAATTGTTTGAACGATAAAATTAAAAAATTAGAAAAAAGTAGGATATAAGCAAAGTAATTTTAAATTTTGTTCGTCGCGTTAGGAGTGCATGGTTCCAACAGCCCATATGTTCCAATGAAAATGTTGCGTATCTAGACAGTGCCTCTATACGGAAAAAGGCCAGAAGAAAATCACACGAGATGAGAGTGTTGCTGTTGTCTCTGAGAACAAATAGAATATCATGAGGACACACATGACATCATAAATCATAAATCGCTCAATCAATATTTGGAGCGATTTAACGACAATAGACAAATTGAGCCAAAAATTTCAACAAATTGCGAATTTCTATCGGGAGCTGCCGCCATCGGTCGCACGCCCACACCTCGCAATGATTGTTCGCATGTCTGTCGTTCGATCACTGCAGCCAATCAATGAACCTAAATCAATTTAGGACTGTAAGACAGCAGGACACGTGGGCTCGTCCAATACTTCAGTGAATGGCTAGGACGGTAGCCTGGCTGGCTGGAGTGATTTCGAAATTAAACGGCGAACACGAAAATTGTTGCATAAAATAGCCTGAAAGAAGTGCGCGTTTTTTTTTCAATTTACATAGCCAAATGCAGGCGTAAAGAAAATCGTATTACTTCGCTAAAATGTGCCTATATTTGCATATATTTGTTGTTTTTTTCGTCTCAAAATAGTTTTTCCAAAATGAATGACAACAATATTGGACAAGACAAGACATGTACCAGAAAAAATACCGAGACGAAGAAGAGAAAAATGTTTCGTATTATAGTTATAAATGGGGGCAAATATTATATCCTGAAATTTAAAAATTGTATCCCGGTTCCCGGTTGGTATAAAAGGCCTTAAGACAGATGGATATAAAATGAGGTATAAAATAAAGATCCGAGATACTCCATTACGATACAAGACTAAGCGAGACGGCGTGACATACGACCTATGCTATGCATTTAAAAGCATAATACATAGACGGCCATTCTAAACGCGCACATTAGGGATTAAAAAGTTGGTCCCTTGATTGATTATCAAAGGGCAGTGGAGCGGATTAGGCGACATTTGGCTGCTAACACTAGGCGGCGGTTACGTTACCATGGTTGAACTAGTATAAGGTTGACCCATCAGAAGCCCATTTTTGCGGATGTAGCTCGTTTTTCGCCCGTGACGTCACTGATCTCAGTGACGTCACGGGCATTAACCAATCACGGAAATACGATCAAACCAGTCGACCAATCCGTCATGGGAATGACGGGTTTGTTTACGTTTCTCGATTTACGTGACGTAAGAAGAAAGCCTGAACTGAAAGACGGAACTTCTCGTGGGTCAACCTTATATAGTTAAACCATGTACGTCACTGGGCAGACTTGGCTGGGTATGGCAGACAGAATAATTATGCTGTTAGGCCTTTTTCGCATAACGTATCACATTTGACGGGTTATAAGTATTAAAATCACTCGACTGCTCAAATCGCAAGTTTATCAAAAATTTAAAAGCAAGGAAAATAGCCAGAAAATTCACCATTTCTTAAAAATGAAAACGTTTCGGAGAATGGAGCTGGTATCCGAAACGTTTTCCTTTTTAAGGAATTGTGAATTTTCAGGGTATTTTCTTTGCTTTTAAATTGATTTGACGCGTTACATTGCGGTCTAGAGTCAGTTGCGGATTTCTAAAGAGATAATAAAATTGTTTTAATTTTTATCGCTAATAAAGACTTAACATTCAGGTTCGTCTCGCTTCCAATAAAGAATGATGAGCCACAGATACGAAAATGTCAATCACCAAAAGCTCAAAGGTGACCAATTATTCGGGGTTGCTCCGCAATAGCCAACACCACAAGCGCCAACAAGCTTCATAAAGGCAATAGTTCGCCTGGAAATGCAGCACAATCATGTCACCTTTAGAAGGGGAGCAGTGCGGCATAAGGCAATAACAGCGGCGGTTAATGGCCCGTCCCAGCAGGACGTCCCCGGGGCCCTCGTCCCCTGCCCGTCCCAGCAAGACGTCCCCTGGGCCCTCGTCCCCTGCCTGTCCCAGCAAGACGTCGCCGGGGCCCTCGTCCCCTGCCTGTCCCAGCAAGACGTCCCCGGGTCCTTCGTCCCCTGTCTGTCCCAGCACGACGTCCCCGGGGCCCTCGTCCCCTGCCTGTCCCAGCAAGACGTCCCCGGGTGGGCCTTCGTCCCCTGCCTGTCCCAGCAAGACGTCCCCGGGGCCCTCGTCCCCTGCATGTCCCAGCAAGACGTCCCCGGGGCCTTCGTCCCCTGCATGTCCCAGCAAGACGTCCCCGGGGCCTTCGTCCCCTGCATGTCCCAGCAAGACGTCCCCTACCTTCGTCCCCTGCCTGTCCCAGCAAGACGTCCCCGGGGCCTTCGTCCCCTGCCTGTCCCAGCAAGAGGTCCCCGGGACCATCGTCCCCTGCCCGTCCCAGCAAGACGTCCCCGGGGCCCTCGTCCCCTGCCTGTCCCATCAAGACGTCCCCGGGGCCTTTGTCCCCTGCCTGTCCCAGCAAGAGGTCCCCGGGGCCCTCGTCCCCTGCCTGTCCCAGCAAGACGTTCGTCCCCTGCCTGTCCCAGCAAGAGGTCCCCGGGGCCCTCGTCTCCTGCCTGTCCCAGCAAGACGTCCCCGGGGCCTTCGTCCCCTGCATGTCCCAGCAAGACGTCCCCTGCCTTCGTCCCCTTATCACGCGGGGTTTGGCGTCACGCAGGCCATGACGGCTGGTGGGCGAGTGTTGAGACGATAGGCTCGTGTTGGCTCGCTTGTCGGACGTGTCAAATCGCACGAAATTTTTTAGACCACGCCGTAGTATTATGTAATGCAAGTCGTAATATGTAGCGGTGTTATGATACGTATGCATAGCATGTATACGTATGCATAGCATGTATACGTATGTATAGTATGTATACGTATGCATAGAATGCATGCTATGTATACGTATGTATAGCATGCAGTTTCAAATAACGAATAGTTTTCCTCGAATTGACATGTCGTAGGAGCATAATATACTAAGGAGGAGGAGGAGAGGACATCATTCCTAAGGATACTAAGGAGGAGGAGAGGACTTTCTCCATGCAGCAGATGATTGGCAGGCAAAAAACGAAATTCAAGTTTCGTTCAGCAATTCACTAAACATAATTCAGCGCTGATTTACGACTAAGGTTACGACATGAATATACTTAAGAACGCTGACTAACTTTAGACTTTACCTCTCTTGCCTCGATAAGCAATAAAAAGTATTTGTAATCTTGGACCCATGTCACGGATCCCGTTCAAGGCTAAGTAAGAACTGCATGCAATATTTGTTCTGTCTTGTCATGTCAGCTAAGACGCCCAGACATTAAACTAACTAAAAAATATAACTCAGTACCGGTATCTACTCACTGCAGTGAGTGACAGAGAGCGCATTTTCTCGTCGACGAAAACTTGAAGTCACGGACGCACAGACAGACGGACAGACAGACGGACGGACAGATGGACATGGCGAGCACAATAGTGCATTTTTTTCATAAATTAGAAAATGCGCTAAAAATATAACTCAGTACCTACTCACTGCAGTGAGTGACTGAGAGCGCATTTTCTCGTCGACGAAAACATGAAGTCCCGGACGGACAGACAGACGGACGGACAGATGGACATGGCGAGCACAATAGTGCATTTTTTTCATAAATGAGAAAATGCGCTAAAAAGCAGGCGCTGTTATATTCATTGTTTTATTGATGCCAGTGAGCGAGGGGTGAAGACAGACGGTCGCGGCCACGCCCTTGACGCGCGCACTCAGCGGCCGTAGACGAACTACTGGAAGACCTATTGTTGACAGCGAGTAATAAGGGGACTTAGGGGAGATGAATTGTTTCCAGAACTAATGTGTTAATCTGATGAAACTCGTCAACATCCTCATCAACATCCCATCCTCATCCACATACATCGGATAACAGCGAGTAATAAGGGGAGATAAATTGTTTCCAGAACTAATGTGTTAATGTGATGAAACTCATCAACATAAATGATAACAGCGAGTAATAAGGGGAGATAAATTGTTTCCAGAACTAATGTGTTAATGTGATGAAACTCATCAACATGAATGATAACAGCGAGTAATAATTAAGGGGAGATTAATTGTTTCCATAACTAATGTGTTAATCTGATGAAACTCATCAACATAAATGATAACAGCGAGTAATAAGGGGAGATAAATTGTTTCCAGAACTAATGTGTTATTCTGATGAAACTCATCAACATGAATGATATGAACGTCTTTAAAATTAGTTGCTTAGCTAACTCTTAGTACAGAAGTCTATATGAAAGTGAGTAAGCATTTTGCGAGAAGATAAATTTAATTCTTCTGATGGCCGGAGTTAAACACGAAAATTGTAAAAGCTGAAACTGTGACTAATGTTTTACATTATGAAGCGTGTTTCAGTAACTTCAAACTAACGTTAGATTATGTGAGAAATATCAGTCATATCGGATCGTCACATCCACAACTCAATAAGGAGCGTACATAACAATGTGTACATGAGTACACATCGTTCGGTTCACATGATCGTGTTCTCCTTTCCGCGTTGTTTGCAGCCGACCAGTGGGGCCATACTTTCATAAAAAAGATCGTAAGTTCATCAAGTTTAAGTTTAAGAGATTAAGTTCATCAGTAAGTTTAAGTTTAAGAGATCGTAAGTTCATCAGCCAATCATTGACGGCCTTTGAAGCAAAATCCACCAATCATAGACAAGAAAATAGAGCGTAAGTAACTACGTTCACTTAGCGAGTTTTGAAAGTATGGCCCCAGGTCTTTGGGCAACTCTTATTTGACAACAATTGCGTACGATTTCAAAGAAAATAATGTAGCATCAACTATAGGGCAACTTGTTCCTATTATGCAGCGCGCGCCTTCCTATCAACATTTAATTCCAGGAATCTCGGCACAGAGGTACATTTGCCCCCCGACTCACGGTGACCACCCGCAAGGTCAAACTCTCGAAACATGACAAGAAGCTAAATATTGTGTAAAATATGTTAAGAACTTGGAAGCACCGCCATAATAACAAATATAACCATAAATTCTGCAAATCAAACTTCAATCAAAAAGCGTCACATTTAATGGTAATATCAATTACAGATAACGCATTAGTGAATGGATCCAATCGCTTTTCACAATAAAATAATTACAAGCAGAATATATGTTTTTGGTAGCCTTTTTCAGTGAGATATGTATTGTTTTTTCCAGAAGGAAAAAAAGAGGAAATCACCTTATTGTAACTTAACCAAATTTTTCAGCCGATCGAACGAAGTAAAGCAACGAAATGTGCTTCTTTTTCGTGAGTTACTAAGGCTATGAAGGTGTCTCTTCATCGACCTCATGGTTGGCTAAATATCAAGTCTGTATCTCAACTCTGTGTTTGAACTCAAGCACCGAGACACTCGTAAGTACATGATGGCAATTATTAATAACTAGACAATATGATCGTCGAAAGGAATTAATTGTATCTCATTACGTACAATTAAATTAATTAATAACTAGACAATATTATCTATCAATAAGGATTAGAAATATCATGCGCAATAACACCTATTTTATTGCGCACGCATGCATTTTCTTGGAGGTAATACAACAAACAGTTCTCAATAAGCTCCTTATGCTCTATACAGGGAAACTCAATGGAAATGCCTCATGCAGCAACGTAAATGAACAGCAAAAAAGTACAAAATAATAGTTATAAGTTGATGGAAAACTGTAGGAACTCAAGGAACTTGTGTGCATTCTTATAAAAATATTATAGATGGCCAATGCTCAGATTAAAATTAATAAGGAAACACACTACTAACGCGACATACACAACAATTTCTTGTAACTCAATAGATGATGCATACATGGTTGTTGCAAGGTATGTTCGGCACGGCTGAACACGATAATGTAGCGGAGAATTCCCCGCTAACGACGCACCATAACAACTGAGAAGCACCTTACGTGTTAACTCCACACCCCGCTCAACTTCTCACCTCATAAACCCGTTCAAGTTCTCACCACAAACACCAGAGCAAGTTGATGTTTGCCACCGAGCGCCATTATAACCAGACCGAGAACGTTCATCATGACCGCGCATTCTTATAAAGCTTGAAGCGCCAGTTGACGGCACTCAGCCCAGGGCAAGTCGCAAGTTCAATCTTGACATCTACATCAGATTTTGCTGAGGCCATGTTTGTCTTCATGATGTGCTCTGCATGATGCGGGTGGGTGCTCTGCAGAGCAGTGGTGCTCTGCAGCACAGAGCAGAGCAGTGGTGCTCTGCAGCACAGAGCAGAGCAGTAGTGCTCTGCAGCACAGAGCAGAGCAGTGGTGCTCTGCAGCACAGAGCAGAGCAGCGGTGCTCTACAGCAAATGGCAGAGTTTTATGCAAAGCACCACTGCACAGAGCAGAGCGGTAAAGCGCAGCTGGAGCCGTTCACTGCCATCGCTCCGGAAAAAAGTGCAAGCCAGCAGCATTCCACTGACACCAGCAGTCCACTGACACCAGCAGTCACTAATAAGCCACTGGCAGTTCACTAGCAGATTGATAAGGCAAGAACATTATTTTTTTCGACAGGGCAGTATTTCAGTTCGACAATATCCCATCGTTTCATAGAGTGATAGAGACACCCCATAGCAAATTCATAGGACGCTCGTTCTAATCCCATTTCTCGTGAAACTCGAGCGCATGGAACCGCAATGCGTATAAATATATTGAAGCCTTAATTAAGCAGGTAATCTTACGGCTGCGATGATGTGGCCGATACCCTGACATTGGGCCCACCTAAAGTTCTTTAGATGCAAAGGGAAATGACAGACGAGGGCTCTAGTATTCTGACTAACATGATATACGAGTCAAGACTCTATTAGACGCAAATATTGCACTAAGGCGAAAAACATACAATGTAACATGGACAGGTTAACGAGCTCAATCATCCGAAAATCCGCACACAAGTTGCTTGCAAAGTTAATGAAAAATTAATGATTATAAGATTTTCTGGCCGTAAAAAAGAGAAACGGGGGGTTGTCGCTACAAGAACCCAGACGGCGACATGAACAGGTCACAGAGTGAAGGTCGATACAGCGCCAACTCGGTGTGATACCCAAGAGGCTGTGTGATACCTACGAGGCTGTGTGATACCTACGAGGCTGTGTGATACCTAAGAGGCTGTGTGATACCTACGAGGCTGTGTGATACCTAAGAGGCTGTGTGATACCTAAGAGGCTGTGTGATACCTAAGAGGCTGTGTGATACCTAAGAGGCTGTGTGAAACCTAAGAGGCTGTGTGATACCTAAGAGGCTGTGTGATACCTACGAGGCTGTGTGATACCCAAGAGGCTGTGTGATACCTACGAGGCTGTGTGATACCTACGAGGCTGTGTGATACCTAAGAGGCGGTGTGATACCTACGAGGCTGTGTAATACCCAAGAGGCTGTGTGATACCTAAGAGGCTGTGTGATACCTAAGAGGGTGTGTAATACCTAAGAGGCTGTGTGATACCTAAGAGGCTGTGTGATACCTAAGAGGCTGTGTGATACCTAAGAGGCTGTGTGATACCCAAGAGGCTGTGTGACACCCAAGAGGCTGTGTGATACCTAAGAGGCTGTGTGATACCTAAGAGGCTGTGTGATACCTACGAGGCTGTGTGACACCCAAGAGGCTGTGTGATACCTACGAGGCTGTGTGATACCTAAGAGGCTGTGTGACACGGTACCTAAGAGGCTGTGTGAAACGTAAGAGGCCAACGCTCGGGCCGTAGGAAGTCTTGCCTTCGCCTAAGACGTAATGTCGGCAATGCAAGCCAACCCTTTGATCAGAGAACGATCTGGTCTCACAAGCATCCGCGGTATAAAGAAGAATACGTGAATTAGTTCAGTTAGTTCTGCTTTCTAAATACTGACTTTCTTTTATCAAAACTTGAACTGTAATCCGTGCAGATTAATTCAGCATGTGAGTATTTTCCTAGCAGCAGTGAAGTACACTGCAACATTTAGAATTTGGGTTTGGTGGAGAATGAACCTCGACACTCGTATTTAACCAATCACATATATTCACACATCCTCACAAACGGCCTAAAATACATTAATGTTTAAAAAGGTGGCATAAGCTAGAGGGCAAATCAACCTTTGGGAATAATATTCCATTGTGCTCATTTTATGTGTGAAAATTAGTTCTCTACACACCACAAGGGACTACCATAGAGAACTACCCACGATGACTCAGCAAGAACGAGAAGTCCCAGCAAGCATGCGGCGCTGCTGCACCCAGAGCTTCACATCCGCCTCCCCTCCCTTATTTGAGGAACTTTCTAGCCCCCATCGCACGAACCCCTCGTCTTGGTTTCACTTTCTTCCCAACAAAGGGTATCGCTCGAGCCCTTGCGTGTCCACGCACACACTACGCATCTTGTTCTCAGCGACAGATCGCAAGCAGCCAGTCAGTCTGGACTAGCTTTGTTCTGACTCGAACATCAGGCCACGGAAGCGCGGCCATCACAACAATGAATCAATTGGTATCACCATCAATGAATCAATTGGTATCACCAACAATGAATCAATTGGTATCACCAACAATGAATCAATTGGCATCACCAACAATGAATCAATTGGCATAACCAACAATGAATCAATTTGTATCACCAACAATGAGTCAATTGGCATCACCTCCGTTCTTTTGATCCTGTATCAGTTTTGTGTCAACTAAAATCGAAATCTCATTCAATTGCCAAAATAGATTGAACATCTAATAAACAAATGGCGCGCTTGATAGCCAGCAAAAATGCCAACAACTAAGCGAGGCTGTAGCCCTCAAAACTATCTGAACCGAATTCCATAGTTTAGTCCTAAAAACAAAAGAAGTCAGAGTAATGAGAAAGAAAATAAAAAATTTCACAAATGAAAATGTTGGTGTCACAAGCTGCATATATCACATACAACTTTACATACCAGAAGTTCGAATAGAAAATGTGAATCAAATTTTTATTTAACAAATACCCATCCTTCACAGAATGATGATCGAGTGCAATGCAGCTCAATAGGCAGAATGGCACTCGAATGTTGCGATAAAAATACACTGGCACCGCAGTCACTGAGCACAGGGCGTCTGAGCACAGGACGCCTGAACACACAGGGCGCCTGAACACAGGACGCCTGAACACACAGGGCGCCTGAGCACAGGAAGCCTGAGCACAGGACGCCTGAACACAGGACGCCTGAACACAGGACGCCTGAACACAGGACGCCTGAACACAGGACGCCTGAACACAGGACGCCTGAACACAGGACGCCTGAACACAGGACGACTGAGCACAGGACGCCTGAGCACAGGACGCCTGAGCTTCACTCCGTGGAGCCGGCGTGAGCAGCCAAGACGTAAACGTTCATGATTATTATCAGTACACCTGTAACGCAATCGGCTAAACTGGCAAATAGAACTACAAAAAACACTCAAAAGTCCTTCACATAGGATGAGATGACTCGCAAAACAATAAATGACTTTGGATTCGAACGGACCACATTACTCAGAGTTCAGTGACCCAAATACGCACGTAGCGTCACGAAGATGGCATGGTTACTGCCAAATGGAGGCAATCACGAGACGAGTTATCTACACAGCATCGATCAAATAAAATTGAGATTTCATCTTACTTTAGTAACTGCGAGAGTGCTGATCACTTGGCACGAAATATTAACAACAAAAATATCAATTGAACTGAAATAACGGAACGACTTGTTCCAGGCCGGTAATAATAAATAATAGTTGCAGTATAAATTTAGTAATAGTTGCAAAATTCATGTCGTTTTCAATGGACGAACAGAATAGTTTGCTACTCACCATACTCGATGAAGTCAGACACAGTCTTCTCCCTCCTCATGGACGAGTTGAGGCACTCGTCGTGTAGCACAATAAGGACATCAAGCAGCGTCTCCAAGCTATAGCACTGACCAGGGTTCAGCAGCGGGCCACCGAGAAAAAGCTCTTCAAGGCGCTTGAGCCTCATCTCTGCTGAAAGGGCGTCGCCGGCATCGTCCAGCATAGCCACTTCACCACACGATGTGCCGTTCATCTTTACGCTCAGCTCGCGCTGGCCAGTCTTGTTGTCATCGGCCACATCGACTTGCGCCTGATGCGTCGCGTTGGTACCAGGCTCGTCCATGACAATCTCGCTAACAAGGGCACTTCAAATAGGACTGGGGTGACGTTCAACCCGGCGCTGCTGCCGTGAGTGGGTACGGTGGTAGAAAATAACAAGAATGGCTGCGGTGACAGGCTTGAAGTGCCAGAGGGGAAGAGGAATGAAGGGAGAGGAGGGTAGTGGAGTTAGCAAGCAACGGCACCAATGCTATATCGGTCCCTCGCATACCAGAGAGCACATGCCTGCCATGGCGCCGCTGTTGCGTGCAACCTCCCGCCCCGCAACACACACGTTGATATTGGACGATGATATCGTGTGTGTTGTTGTGGTGATTAAATGATGTTGTGGTCGTAACGATGATGTTGTGGTCGTAAGTATTAAATTAACACACTGATATTCACTTAACACTTGTATCACTGCAGTGGAAATAAGCTAGCCTACACAGGCACTTTGCACCAAGTTGCAATAACTAACAAACTAGAATAGAACTCGTATAAAAATCTTAGGCACGGGGATGTACAAAACTAGAAATTAGACACCTCGAGATTGAATTAAAAAGAGATTAAGTACACTAATACCTCAGCCTTGAGAGATAAAATATTGAACTTCAAGTTTTGAAACTGTGAGCTATAAGTATATCTGTACACGGCCATCACTTCTGAACACTCTCGGCCTACGGGATTGGCGAGGCCCTCACTCAAATGTGGGGCTTCATCCTGCAACAGAGAAAACATTTCGTCAGCAAATCAATCTATGATTTCCAACTAATATAAATACAATATAAACTTACCAGCTTCAAGAAATTTAGGTTGGAAATATATTATTGACGCTTTAAAATATTATTTAGTAAAGGCAATCAAAGTTGATGTAATTTACTCCTTGGAGCAATATTGATTACAGTAGCAAATAAGGTACCTGTTAAAAATACCCATGCAATATTAAAATTGTTATTTAAATGTATAAACGTCACAAATTTAGTGACAAGTTTAATTTATGACAACTTCGTACCTATTATGATGAACTTTAACAAAAATTTCAGCGACATTAATTAATTTTTCTGCAGCATTTAAAGCATGCAGCTTTAAATGCTCTTATGCTTAATGAAGCATAAAGGGGACTGAATGGGACCAACATGAATAATGAAATCCAATCAACAGGTAAGCAGATGTGGAAAAAATTTTGCTTATCACTGAAATATTTTAGCTACACAATCACATATTTTTGTTCACCTACATTCATTGACAATAATATAACTTGACTAATGGAAATTTTGCAGCACTGGATATTTGTTGGCAGCTCAATTCATAGCTTTAAAAGAAGATATTTTCAGCTATGGCTGCTTAATTAGTACTATTTCAATATTTTACATTCAATTCTCCTTAGTCAATAATGTCAGAAAGCAATGAAATGTTCCAAAACAATTTTATCATTTCAGTGCATTTTTAAAGCACCACCTTTATATATAATATGAGGCAGTTGATCCAATTCATTTTATCACTGCAGTATGGAATTCTCAAGTATATTGTTAAATGTTCAATACCAATAAAGCTTAGTCACTAGGTTAATTCACAATATTTCAGCTGAGTTCAAGAGACATCATCCCATTTCCAGTTTTTTTGCAGTAATTGTCTACCTACCTACCCATACATCATTTACATACCCCCTCCCAAATTAAACACTGTCGTTAACACACAAGTTGACGCCTTAATTAAAGTCAATGCCTCCAATAGAAACATGACACCTTATCAAAGTAATTTAGTAAGGCTTTCTAGTAACATTAGAACTGCTTGAACATTACAATTTCCTAAATCACCATTCATAATATTGTGTTATTTGTTGGATTATACCAGTTTAGGTGCACATTCTTATTGGGGGCAAACTTTTAGAAGATACCTATTATTGGTATGGTATGTTATGCATGAAAAAAAAAATATACAGTAGAACTTTGCTTAACAACAATTATCCATTCCAGAAAGGCTGACTGAAATGTTTGCTAACCAAAATAATTTCCCCAATAAGAAACTGGAAATAGAAATAATTGGTTCCCAGCCCTTCCTGACTTGCATAGGTATATCTGGAAGATACTGACTACGTAGGTAGGTATAATTTTAAATGAGAACAGTTATGAATGGGGCTAAATGAACATAAAACAACAAAGAAAGTATGTAAACATGAGAAAACATCAAGTAAACATAAATAGACACCATTTTAACCATGATGATTTTTTATTTTAACCATGATTTTAAAGAAAACACCATTTTGACCATGATGTGATAGCATAACTGGATGGAGTGGTTGGGAGGTAAAGGAGGAATTATTGATCCTTGGAGGAAGAATCACCCTCCAAGAAAACACCAGGAACTGTAACCTTGGGGATTCATCTTCTCTGTCGCTTTGTGGTTAAACAAAAAACTTATCCAGTGTCTGTTGTATCTGCCTATTGGTCAAACTTTTTGATAATATGACATAAAAAATTACGCTCCAAAGGCCTATCACACTACTATGTGTCACTCTTAATCTTCTTCGGAGGCATGACAGAGTTACGGTATATACCTAGTTAATCAAATAAAGCACAAAATCACTACATGTATATAAGATGGATGTGAATAGATAAAGATTACAACATCTGATTAAAGCTGAGTCTTTTGCAGGATTGAACGTCATTTTGTTTTGGATACTGCCATACTGGATTAAACCGGGTTCACACCACACTGCCAGGTATGTGCCTGGAATATGCCAGTCACAGTACAGTTCAATATTATTTAATACATTCCATAAAAGCATTCAAACCAGCCTTGCAAGGCACCTGCCATGCCCGTGGTGTGAATGCTTCTATTTTAATGCATTAAAGAATATTGGACTAAGGAGGGACTGGCAAATGCCTGGCACATGCCCATCAGTATGGTGTTAACCTGGCTTCATGTGCTCGATCATGAAGAATTTGTTCATTGCTAACTAAAATTGTTCGTTAACAGAGATAAATTTGCATCAAATACTTTGTCCAACAGGTTTTTTTTTTTGACCAAGGACTCTGCTAACCAAGGTTCTAGTGAAGTTTTTATTAGTGGAAATTAAGGAATAATCAGAATTATTAAGCATTTTAAATTTGAAGGAGACTGTACTGCATTCTAGTCACATGCATTTCATCTGCGATTACTTCACAGTTGGCAACAGTATGAAAAAATTCTCAGGATATATCCATATTTCATATTGATGCAGAATTACTGCAGTATTATATCATATTAAACTAGCTCCAATGTCTACCCAATGAATCAGTATCACTGCCAGAGCTTTTCTCCTGGTAGTGACAGCAATGCCAGAGTATTGATATGAAGGATGCTGGCAGAGGTGGGGGTGTTGGGTGTGAGGGGGGGATGTGTTTGAGGGTGGAGTGCTGGGTGTGGATGTGTGTGTGATGGAAGCAGAGGTGGAGACAGGTGGGTGAGGATGGACATGGATACAGGGGGGAATGAGGGGAGGGAAGATGAGTGCTGTTAACAAGATGTGGGTGTGAAAGAAACTGTGGTGTGCATGATGGTGGAAAACAAAAGGTATTTAAAAGAGAAAAATGGGTCATTATGATGGGGATTATGAACGAAAAGGTGAAGGTGATGGTGTGATGATGAGCACAGGATGCCTGAGAGAACAGGTGAGCACAGAAGGTGAGCACAGGACATCTACAAGAGAACAGGTGAGGAGTGGAACGCACTGATTGTGTTTTCTTTAAAGAGAGCAGCTGTAGTAACTGTGTCACTGACAAAGTGTAAGAAGTTATTTGTATAACTATAGCATGTGAATTTTAAGAGATGCCTAGAGGAGGATGACATGAATGTGTTTTGATGAAAAAAAATAATGAATAGATTACTAACCATATCTAAAGTAACTTAATACTTTAGTTCTGGTGAATGATGCATGTTTATTAAATAGTGATGAGCTTTCCAGAAGTCTCAAAGAGCACTGGTATTATTGCAGATTAACTACATCCAAAAAAAAGGGTGTTTTTTTTTAATTATATGTTTTTTGGGGTGTAGATTACGAATCTGAAATCCATTTTTGGCGGTCGGCATCGGAAAACCGATTTTTTTCCGACCCAAAATGTAACCCCCATGTTAGTAAGTCGCGAAAAAAATCGGTTTTCCGATGCCGACCGCCAAAAATGGATTTCAGATTCGTAATCTACACCCCAAAAAACATATAATTAAAAAAAAAAAACACCCTTTTTTTTGGATGTAGTTAATCTGCAATAATACCAGAGCACTTCAAGCAGCATTCATCAGTTTCAGTAGATAAGATATGAACACTGAAAGACAAGGATCAACACAATGGTCTATGAAGCAAGCATCCAACTTAAACAATGCTAACACTCGTTAAGACATTCATTAAAAGAAAAATTAATCTAACCAAAGAGAAAACAGGTACTTGATGAACTCTGTGATGTTTAAGCAGGAATAAAATTTTTGTTTATATTCAAGGCAGCAAATTTAAGTAGGGTTGATCAGTGGTTGGGTATACTTCAAAGTGCAGCAAAAGCGTGTGCAAGTAAGTACAAAGTATGACGAGAAGTGTGGAAGAGTGTTGCAGCTCCAATTATTATGTATAGACTGGGTGTATTAGAGTACCTATAGTGATGGTGATTGGTGATTGAGACTAAAAGTGATCCAGAATAGAGCTTCAAGATTGACAGTAGAAGCCCCCAGGTGAAGTGTGGGGAAAGCCCTGAGAGGGGACTTAGACACTCATAATAGACAGAGTAGGTACTTTTGAAGAGAGAAAAATGATAAGTTCTGAGATACAAATTGGGACTGGGATAAATGTTGGGCTCATGACATAGATATGTCTATGTTTGAAACATAATGGTTAAGAAGTGAACACATAGGTATTGCGTGATTGAGGTCTGCATTTTAAGGAATCCCAGTTAAGGTCCACAAGAAGACAAGCAAGAATTCTAAGATACCAGCATCAAGCTTTAACAACAATAAAATATAGAACAAAATCTTGAAATAGATCAGCAAGTTAGAAATTTAACTGATTTCTCCATCTTGGGTTATGTCCAATTTTTTTTATTTTTAATTGATATTCAAGTCCAATTTTTTTCCAGACTTAGTGTCAGAATATTTATGACACCTGATAGAAAACAAATCCAGAAAAAAATATAACTCAGTACTCACTGCAGTGAGTGACAGAGAGCGCATTTTCTCATCAACGAAAACTTGAGATCATGGACAGACAGACAGACGGACATGGCAAGCAAAAGAGCATTTTTTCCATATATGAGAAAATGCGCTAAAAAGGGACTATTATTATTTTCAATTATTTTTTATTTCTAGAAAAATAGCTAAGCTATTTTGATGTAACCACAGATCCTTAAAAAGCTAGTTTATGAAGATCTTTCATGTCAAGAGACAGGCAGCCAAATGTATTTTCTTTTATGTCTGCGAAACTGCAGAAATGTTTAGCTTTCCTGTAATTATTGGAGCCCTTGAGCTTCCTGGCTCCTGCTAGATGAAAGGTATACAAAAATGCTAATTCACCTAACAGAAACATTGGGCAGAAAATACAGTAAATAGGCCTGGTACAAAAACTCTAGTGAATCTGACCAATTCCACCTACTCCTATTGCCTTTTATTTATTTCTTGTATAAAAAAAGGAAAAGTGCCCTTTTCAAAAGTAATTTTATAAAATCACCTCCAAAATTATGGGGTTCCTACTGTCAATTTAAGGAAAATTCTGCCTTAAATTCATAATTGGCTACTTTGGAGCTAAATGATTCCAGTACCAAGTAAATTCTTGCAAATTAGAGAGAAATCATGCTTGTGGTAAATTTTGCATTCCAGTACCAAGTAAATTCTTGCAAATTAGAGAGAAATCATGCTTGTGGTAAATTTTGCATATTTTCACAACTTCTAGCCTCTTGCCAATTTATTTCATGAAAATAAAGAAAAACTGTATATCTACTTTCACTTCCAATTTTCCATATTTGCCTGTGAAATGAGTTTTAATCCAAATTTTTTGGGAAATTTAGCCAATGGCCCTGATATTCAAGAATGGGTATGAACTGAAGTAGGACTAGAAAATTTCCAATCTTCTACATCTACAGTATATTTATGCATTAAAAATTCTAAATAGCTATCTAGTATTATCTACCATAAGTATTAATAATTGCATCAAATATCAATGATTGATACAAGATCAGGTTCCCCGTTCCTGCCTTCCTGGATAAATAAAATAAAATTAAATTGCTAATTAACATCAAAATAAACAGTAATCATAACAATAAAAGGTTAATAATGCCAAGAACAACCAAAGTAAGGTTCATTCCCGACTTTCCCGTTCAGTGTGCAGGCTGTGCTCAACGGCCTCACCTCTCAGGCCGGCTTGGCCGGAGACAACTGAAGTTAACTTAACTAGCTAGCCTACTTAGTTTAGTTAGACTAGAGTTATATCGGAAAATCGAATTCGATACATCGTCATTCATCAATAAGTCACAATGAGATAAACTTTAAAATAAAGTACATAGATAAAAGGCAAACAAATTTCTCACAAGCTTTTGTCTAGTTTATATGTAACCGTTCAATATTCGGAGCCGAGTTGAATTGCCGTAGTTAGGCTAATTGATTTCATCAAGTTTTGCGATCGCCAAGTAACGATTGCTACAAGCACAAGCGATTGAAAATCAATTTTGTCAACATACAAACTAGCTTCAAGTAATTGATGAATAAATGTACGCACCGAAAGGAACACAATTGCACTTACTTAAACAGAAATTTCACATACGACGACGTCAAATTGGCAAGAAACTACACGCGTCAAATCACATATCCACACCCCAACCCGGCACGCTAAATACTAAAAGAAACTTGGGCAAATGGCAATGACTGCGAAAATAAACGTCATGAAGCGAAAGTGCAGAGTGAAACGCTATAGAGGAGTTGACTCGTAAAAGAATTCACTGCCTCAATTTCCAAACATTGTTTATACAAGTTTTTCCTCAAAATTTTGGAAACAGTTTCGATTATAATTCGATTGCATATGCCTTACTCATATAATTTTTAGGGGGTAGTTTTACGCAGTCACATTTTATTACAACCAGTTCGTTCATTAAATGTAGGAGGTGTTCAACAAAAATGAGATTGTGGCTTATTTCGGAGAAGCTTTGATGAAAACCACATGAATATCAATAATTCTTCACTGTAAGTGCTAATTAATGGCATAAAGTAAATACCAATTATTTAATCACAATTTCACTGAAGAAACGAAGTAGCAGCATGTTGCATGTCGTATTTGTCAATACAATCTGAAAAAACTACTTTAAAAGTATATCATCGTTTAAAAATTAATTAAACAAATCTGTTTTAATTTGCTTTAAATACGCTTATAAATTTTCAGGACTTATGGTTTCATATCAGCTACCTTGGTCCAGCACATACTGCACAGATGGATTGGACGAGGAAAACATTAGTGAAATAGAATGTAAAAGAAAGAAAACTAATGTATTTTTGAAAAGCATAATTTAATTTTTATATATTGCGCTGTTTGAGTGGGCCAGACATAAGAAAGGTGGATTTGTGATTTTAGTTAATACAAGCAAAATTAAGACAGTTTGTGAATCCTTTGGGTTTGGGATCTTAGCTAAAGACTTTTTTAGATCTGCGAGATGACTAGGTTCTTCAAACAGCAAGACCGGAGCCTTGAGTTGCGGGTTCAGAACCTCAGCAAGTTGGTAGAATATTGTGCTACGTCTTAACTAGGCGACGGGCTATCAATATTACTCTAACGAATCTGCATACTTCCGAACTCGTCCTTGGAATTTTTATTCGCATTAACAAGATATAAGTGAACCTGGTCCACCTATTGTTCTAGGTTGGGGTGCGTGTTTAATTAAGGCCAGTGCCGTCCAACTTCATAATTACTTCATAATTACTTCCGTGGGTCAACATGCCTGAGAACAAAGCAGGCTATTCATATTTTCAATCAATTTGGCGCTAAAAGTCATTGGAACCGTCAATTGGCAGTAAAACCATACTTATTGGGCCCTAGGTAATGGTTTTGTGTATGGGCGGTTAAGAAATGTCCTGTGGAATTGTCGCTGAGAGGCATTTGAAGTAAAACTCTCATGCAACATACTTTCTTTTATTAAGAATCCAAGTTTTCAAGTCTGACCTATCTTGATCCGTGCGTAGTTCTTTGACATGAAATTCATCGAATAGAATTGAAATAATTTCATGTCCTGAGGCAGACTGGCAAATGCCATACTTAATTAAATACAAGATTGTCAAAACACCGTAGCAGAATTGGGATGCCAACTACATTTGTTTTCTTGATCACTGAAAAGGCCTACCGGTAGTACTAGGTGCACTTCAGCACCCGGTATCTTTTGTAAAACTTTGTTTCGACTGAGTGTCAGATGAACTCTGCTGTAGCGTGTTCTCAAGACATTTTTTGCGAAATTTTCGAACCATCACTGTTCGATGGTTCGTCTCTTTCATAATACTGTCAGCGAGAATCTACCTAGCACGTCTCAAGACATATCTCAATCAGTCAATCTCAACATACATATCTCAATCAGTCTCGGACAAATTTACGGCCGGTCTCGCTGCAAATCTCCAAATTCAGTGCGCATGGAAAATCTCCCGAATTAATGAACGTAACTCGACGAAAATCGGTACACGTATTCATTAGGACCTAACGGAGATGTTTAGTTCGTGAAAATTTTTGGAATTTCGCCTTCATTCGTGAGTTATATGGCGATACGTGCTGAAATTCACAGTGAGCATAAAATTTCTTTCAAAATACTGTTCAAATCTGTTCGAAACTTCGAATATACAATCCTAACCTCACCAACGGTGATGCTTAACTCGTGAAAACTTTTTCGATTTTACTTTCGTTTGCGAGTTATACGGCTATAGTATACGAACAGCTCTTGGTCAATGCAAATTTAAAAATCAGCCTCATAAATGCCGGTAATTTCTACGTATATCCGTCTACTAGTTCAACCATGATGGTTAACGTTATAATTACAAGATGTGATTGTGAATCGACCGGATTCCTGTTATTTATGAAATCCAATGTTTAAGTAGTTCCCACGAAGTTTAAAAAAATGCGAGTTTATATCGAGAGTTCGCAGAATCGTAGGGTGCATCGGTTAACAGCCAGTGTTGAAGACGGACGTGAATAAGTCTTTGAGTTATACCTACCTTGCTATCCTTGCTTAATTGTGCCCGCCATGATAGCAGCTAAATACATATCCCAATTAGGCTGAATAATCTCATACAATACTTATTTATCTGTAAGATAAATAGGCAAGTCACCTGTTCGTGTGTGACTGAGGAGCAGAAGTTGAATATTAACTGATGAAGCATTTAATCTCAACCTCCTAGCAATGCGGCTCAGCCGCCAACGGCTGCCGGAGGGAGAGGCTGAGGGTGCGTCAATGACAATGTGAATGTTTAATTCAGACGGGTCACGCCGTCTCGGGGACGCCGGCCCTTGGCCCCTTCTCTTTTGCCTGCTTTTGTGCCTTGAGACCATCATCGGCTGTCACTCAACAGTCAACAGTCAACGCCGCAAAGTCGAGTGACACTCTGTGACAGCCAGACTGAGTGGCTGCGTGGCAACAGCTGCATTCCTTCATGAAACTCCTTAATCCCCATTCCCCATCATTATTGAGCTGTCCAGTAGCACCAGCCACCAGGTGGAGGTCTCAGGTGGCTGAGGTCAGTGAGGTGGGCAGTGGGGTGAGTGGGCACTGGGCAGGTACTATTACTAAGTACCTAGTAAGTACTACTAACTTGGTAGAACTAGAACAGTCAACATCCAGGCTCCAGCAAAAAATCTTGTAGCTCCAGGAAAAGTAATTTTGAAGGTTTTGCATGTCAATGGCTAATGGGTATGCCCTATGGTCAATTGATTTAACTCATTGAACTCAATACCTTTAAATAAAATAGTTTATTTGACTTCAGAACTTCAGAGTTATCAGACGACAGAAATGTTGGACATTACATTGGAAGGTGAGATGGCAATTGGCATTTGGCAAGCATGGTGGATTGTGGATGTGGATCAGGTAGAATTTTAGAGAATGAATTGTCAGGTCAACACTCAACTGGTCAAGTGGCAACTAGCCAACTACCAGTATGCCCTGACAGGTGACAGCCCTGAGGGCTGAGCCCTGTCCCTGTGTCTGTCAGTCTGTGAAGTGTGGACCTGTCACCAGTGACCAGCCTATCAGGGGGCAGAATTTGCAGAAAGGCCTTACTAACTTACTGCCCTCCCCCAGGAACTGGGCTCTGGGCATACAGTGAAGATGACATCATGACACATAAATTCATGATATCTTTATAAAAGAAAACTTTTGGGAGTCCACCTCCATTATCAGTTTCAAGACCATGGAAAGTGAATAAGGCCTACAATCACTCATTATTCTAAAATTCTGAGTCAGACATTAATAAATAAGACCTAATATCAACAATATAAAAGGCGAGTAAACATATAATCACACATTAAAACTGGCCAATCAGTTAGCAAAATGGCTTCAATTTTAGTTGACTCTGCTGAAGCTAGAGTGCTAGACCAGTCCTGGACTAGAAAGTGGTTCAATGATGTGGTATTCCTGATTTCCTGTAACTCACTAGTCACTATCACTGCATTTTACAAAGAGAGAAAAGATTAGATTATACGCATGTTCAAAGCTGTGAAGCTTAATATATAGTATGATGAACAAATTGTTGAAATTATTATTAGAATAAAATCACTTGGGTTAGAAGATAATTGTAAATATGTTTCATTTTAATTTAATTTAATTGGATTGTTGCACATAGTAGGATACAACAGAACAGAGGTAGAGAAAATCAGTAAGGAGGTGGTGACTGGTGAGGAGATGGAGGTTGTTGTTGTTGTACGGACGGAGGTGGAACTGGGTGGAACATGTGTTGTGGAAGGACAGAGCAAGCAACAGTGCTGTGGCCCTCAGGTGGGCACCTGAAGGAAGAAGGAGGAGAGGCTGCCCAAAAAACAACTTGGAGTCAAATGGTGGAAGGGGAGAGAAACAGAGCAGGCTGGATCTCATGGAACATAGCACAGCCGGCAACTGCAAACCGGACCCAGTGGAGGAGTGACGTCCAAGCCTTGTGCGCCTTATGGTTCAGAAAGATTTTAAGTTTGAATTTTTCAAATTATCATGTTCTTTTTAATCAAAAAAGTATCATATAATGTATAGAAAGTGCAATGTTCTAGAGTAAATATTTTGTACAATTTATTCAAAATGCATGTGAAATAATTTTTTGACAATTTTGTTACACTGTTGATTGCTTTAAAAATACCATGTTTCAAGGCATGTAAAAATTTTATTAGTGCTAATATAAATTATCTTGTAACATGTCATTTCTCCAGAATTGTTATCATGTCAGTTTCAAGTGATTTGAGGAACTTGTCTATTTGTAAAAAACTTTCTGAAAATGTGAAAGAAAGTTTGTGTGTTGGCCCCAACCAGTGCTGTTTGGCAGCTGTAGTGGACGACAATATCTTAGTGTGGAGTCAGGAGGACTGCTGCTTGTATGCACAACATTTACAGCAGCAGGATTCAGTTCTGCAGGTAAGAGACATGCAGCTATAAGTTATTACATTATTAAACATTAGTTTAGTTAAGCTTGATGCTAGTTAAGCTTGATGCTAGTTAAGCTTGATGCTAGTTAAGCTTGATGCTAGTTAAGCTTGATGCTAGTTAAGCTTGATGCTAGTTAAGCTTGATGCTAGTTAAGCTTGATGCTAGTTAAGCTTGATGCTAGTTAAGCTTGATGCTAGTTAAGCTTGATGCTAGTTAAGC